TCGTGATGGAGAGCAGAGAGAAGAGAGAGAAAGAGACGCTGATCAGCCACGCTTTAAATGCCGTCCATACATCGGGCCCAGGTGCTCGCGATCAGGTTAAGTGAAAGGCTGGATCAGCTGATCACCTCGGAGGAAAAGTGACATGTCAGACACCCATCCGGTTTCCTAGACCAAGCGGCCAGCAGGGCCGTAACAGACCAGCGACAGAAAATGAATTTGACAGAAAAGCAGGAAAAAGCAGGAGGGAGGATCAGCGCGATTTAGTTTTGTAGGGTGATTTTTCTCAAAATATATTTAGAATTGAAAAGATTGATCCAAGGACGATTCCACACTAAGTACTACTTCATGTCCAAGTACCAATTTTTTAAAGTTTTTTTTCTCCATCCAAATAGTGCTTTTAAACCAACAAATTGAGGTTTGAAAGGTTTATTCCAGCCAAAATACTACTTATTACAATGTTAATAACTGGTTGCTGAGACTTGCATTTGGGCAAATGGTGGAATGAACTTACTTATTAGCAGGTAGAATGATGATGGACTCTGCTGCTGTGGCCTCTGTGGTCTGTAGACGTCAAACAGGACAGTCTGAATGGCTGAAAGACACGAAACATAAGGACAACTCTGAAGGCAGAATTATATATTTATTTATTCTTTACAATAACATTAGATAAAAATAAAAGCAACAACACACAAACAAAAACAAAACTAAACTGGTCTTGTGACTCCCACCACAGAATCTGTGATATCACTTCCTCCTGAGACAGAGATTAGCACACACATGTAGATATAACAACGATATAGCTGAGAAACAAAAAATGGTTCATTCTGAAACAATATCATTTAAATAAACCATTTTACAGCAGAGCAGCCGTGTTAGACAGCTACATACACAAGTAGCACCATGAAAGGCCTGCTATCTATTTAGCCTTTAGCAGTGCAGGGGCACAAACATGTATAAATATCATCTTCGTCAGGTGGAACAAAGCTGAGCAACAGGATGGCCAGTGGTAGTTGTCCCAGCATGTGGTGCACTTCCTCATTATGGGGATGGCTCTGTTGAATTGTTATGCACATCATCAGTTAAAGAGAGAATAGTTGGTCAAACTGAATGTGTTCATATCATTTTGCAAATATAAGTAAACATAAATTAGGCCTAATCCGTGAACTGGACTAAGACATTTAGAATGTTGTGTTCCAGGTTTAAATGCGTACTGATATTATTTCATACTTCATGATTTATTGATTTATTTATTTACTCAGTATTGCCAATCTTGCTCCACACTCCAGTCCGGTAGGTGGCGGTAATGCGCCTAAATGTTGGATGCCAACCTCAAAAACAATCAAAAGATGAAGAGGAGGAGGCGGAAGAAGAAGCTAAGTTACATGGGCTAGCGTCCGACCAGGGGATTCCAGCTACGGTTCGACGGCCCCGAAACTAGTTCGGTACCACGGTGTGTTCACGGACATTTCGTCTGTCAACAGGCTCATGAC